GCCGCTTCGGCCGACCTGGGGCCATCTGGGAGAAATCGTCGACCGTCTTGACGGAAGCCCAAACCAGGTGTGCATGCTGAAATCTGCCAGTTCGGATATTTCCCTACCTAGGCTCTGCCTAGAAGGGTTCTTACTCTCTTAGCTTAAAGGGGCCGGGCAGTGCAACACGCCCCGGGCGGTTCCCCCAGTCCCCCTGGGAGCGGTTCCCCCCAGTCCCCTGGGAGCTTTAGCTTTAGCTTTAGCTTTAGCTTTAGCTTAGCTTTAGCTTAGCTTTAGCTTAGCTGTAGCTTAGCTTTAGCTTAGCGTTTCGCTTAGCGTTTTGCTCAGCTTTAGCTTAGCTTTAGCTTAGCTTTATCTTAGCTTTAGCTTAGCTTGAGCTTAGCTTTAGCTTAGCTTTAGCTTAGCTTCAGCTTAGCTTCAGCTTAGCTTTAGCTTAGCTTTATCTTTAGCTTAGCTTAGCTTTAGCTTAGCTTTAGCTTTAGCTTAGCTTTAGCTTAGCTTTAGCTTAGCTTTAGCTTTAGCTTAGCTTTAGCTTAGCTTTAGCTTAGCTTTAGCTTAGCTTAGCTTAGCTTTAGCTTAGCTTTAGCTTAGCTTTAGCTTAGCTTTAGCTTAGCTTTAGTTAGCTGTTACTACTAATGCTGCTTTCCTAGGGGTTCCAACTCCTAGGTAGGGTCGCACTGGGATAATTGATTTTGCAGTATTCTGGACTCCTGGGGTTCCTCTTGGAGGCCTCTTGGGGCCTCTTGGGGGCCTCTTGGACCGTCTTGGGGTCATCGCGGCCGTCTTGAAGGCTATCTTGGAGGACCGTCGTGGAGGCCATGCTGTAGGGCCATCTTGGCCGACTTGGGGTCATCTTTACTACCTTGGACGCTGCCTGGGGCCATCATGGCCTTCTTGGAGACCCTCTTGCAGCCGCCATGGGAGCGAGGGGGGTAGAGCGGGAGGGCCGGGCGATCGCCCGGGGGTATGTGCCACGGACTCCCCACCGTTGATTCCTTACCTTCCTGTGGTGTTGGGTCCTCGTTTTGAGTCTGCAGCGCCCCGCGTCGCCTTCCTTCCTCCCTCCTTCCATCTTCCTGTTTCTGCTGCAGCACACCCCTAACACGCTTCGTGGCCCAATGGGGGGCACCATCGAAGGTCCCAGTTGGAGAGTCCGCATGTGCGCCCACGCCCATTTCGGCACACCCTTCAAACGCGTTGTCGCCCCATAGGAGCTCCACCAAAGACCCCAGTGAGAAAGACTGCATGTGTGCCCACGCCCATGTCGGCACACCCGTTACACGTTTCGTAGCCCCACCGGCAATTCCACCGAAGCCCCCAGTGGCAAAGTCCGTATGCCGCCCTACCACTGTGCCACAGGGAGCACCACGGAGGGTCCCGGTTCGAAAATACGCTCGCTTGCCCACGCCCATGTCGGCACACCCCTCACACGTTTCGTGGCCCTACGGGACTCGCTTCAGGAGCACCACCGAGGGCCCCGTTGGGAACGCTCGCGTGCGTGCCCGCGCCCACTTCGGTACACCCTTCACACGCGTCGTGGCCCCATAGGGTAGCACCACCGAAGGCCCCAGTGGGGAAGTCCGCATGCGTGCCCACGCCCATGTCGGCACATCCTTCCTGTTTCGGCCCCGCATCGCAGCACCATCGAAGGCCCCAGTAGGAGCGTCCACATGCGGGCCCACGCCCATTTCGGCACACACCTCCAACGTCATGCATGCCCACGCCATAGGGAGCACCACCGAGGGCCTCCATGTCAGCACACCCCTCGCACACTTCGTGCCCTCATAGGGCGGTCCACCGAAGGCCCCAGTGACAAAGTCCGTATGCCGCCCCGCCCAGTCCGGCAAGCTCCTGACACGATTCGTGGACCTTCGGGAGCTTACAAGTGTCTGCTGTCGAATGCGGTTCCGCCGCCCATTTCGGCACTCCTCAGACGATTCGTGTCCCCATCCTCCTTCTCCTCCGTCTTTTCACTTACTTTGCGGCGCTCGCACCTGCATATGGTTGGGTCCTTCGCCAGGGTACTTCTGTTCGGCTTGCAAGTTGCCGTCGAAACCAAACTGCCATCAAGCTGCGGTGGCGAGCCCAGGCGGGAAGTCAGAGGGGGCGGGCCTCCCCAGAAGGCTCGGACGGCCTCCAGGGAAGTTTTCCAAGCTTTTTCCAAGACAGAGACGGCTTCTCAGAAGGCCGTAGGGCTTCTGAGAAGCCCTGACGCCTTCTGAGAAGGCCTGCCGGTGGGTGGGGGGGCGCGCTGCACCAAGCTCACCAGGAGGGCCCAACTCCACAGGAGGGTCACGTCGGGGCCCCATGGCGGCACTGACCACAAGCAAAAAAGAGATGAACTTGCTTTTTTGGCTGCTGCTGGCGTGATCACAGACAAACCCTTTGCGCACGAGATCACAAACCGTTGAGGGAAACTCGCCGCCAGAAAGTGCATCTGAACCAAGCTGCCATCCAAGCCAAGCGATGCTTCCCCTCCCTCGGTCGCAAATCATGGGAGACTGGTGTGCCCTCGTCATGCCGTTCGAGTAGCATCTGGTGCTCGATGAGGTAGCGCCGACTCAGCGTCGATTGGCGTCGGCTCGCTAGAGCCAACAGGATGGTGTGGGAGGCTCCGGTGAGTTGCCGGCGGCACTGGCCCCCGGGAAGGCCCTCGAAAACACAGCAGCGGCAACATCTCCTCGTCCTCCTCCTCCGCGTCCTCCTTCTCGGGAGGCTCCCGGGCTCCTCCTTCTCCTCCTCCTCCTCCTCCTCCTCCTCCTCGTTCTCCTTCTCCTTCTTCTAATCGCTCTCATGACCCTCCTCCTCGGCTCCTGGGCTCCTCTGGCGGCCTGGTCGTCGGCGCGAGGGGCCTTGGCCCCAAAAGGTGCTGAGCTTCTCCCTGGAGGTGGCATTCCGCCTCTGCGACCGGGGCAAGGCGCCCACCTCCCCGCTTTTTCGGGAGGGAGGGAGGGGCGGAGGGAGGAGAAGGAGGAGGAGGAGGAGGAGGGACGAGGGAGGAGGGAGGTCGTCGTCGTCGTCGTCGAACAGCAGCGTAAGGGTCATTCCTGTGCCCAAAGACAGGTGGAAGTCAAGCTCTTGTTCCAACCGGAGAAAGATGGTAAAGCTAGGAAAGCAAGACCTTAGCGTCGCAGCGCGGCAGAGACAGTTCGCACGTGCGCTCAGGCGGTCTGGGCCACGGCAAGCGCAAATCGACCAGCGGCAGGAGGAGGAGGAGGAGGAGGAGGAGGAGGAGGAGGAGGAGGAGGAGGAGGAGGAGGAGGAGGAGGAGGAGGAGGGGGGGAGGGGGGGGAGGGGGAGGAGGAGGAGGAGGAGGAGGAGGAGGAGGAGGAGGAGGAGGAGGAGGAGGAGGAGGAGGAGGAGGAGGAGGAGGAGGAGGAGGAGGAGGAGGAGGAGCAGACAGGCGGAAGAGGCCGCGCGGCGGGGGGAGGGGAGGGGAGGCAAGGAACCGATACGCAAGAGCAAGCGGCGCGCCCTGCGCCTCTCAAGGGCGCCCTCGAGGGCGCGAAGTCATTCGCGCTTCGCGCTTCGCGGTTCGGCTCCGATTCCTACCCTCCATTTCTCCCCTGCGAGGCGGCGCGAGAGCGCGAAGTTATTCGCACTTCGCGCTTCGCGTAGCGCGAAGCGCGAAGTTGGGAGCCCTTGGCTTCTCTTGGGGCGTCTGGGCGCCCTCTGGAGCGTCTCTGAGCCGACTGGGGGCCGTTGTTGGGCGCTCCTGGGGCCGTCTCGGGCGCCTCTCGGGCCGTCTCGGGCGCCTCTGGGAGCCGTCCCGGGGCCGTGGCTGGCCGCTTTGAGACCCTCCTGGGTGCGTATGGAGTCCGGGGGGGGGGGGCGTCTTGGGGCGACCCTGGGGCCCCAGCAGAGGAGGCGGGGACGGCGCGGGCGGCGGCCTCCGCGGCTCGCCAAGCTGGGTGCCAGGGCCTGCAGCGCCCTCCCTGTCGGCGGCGGTGCGGGCTCGAGGGCAGGGCGTGGTCGAGAAGATGCCGCCGTGAGCTGGATGGCAAGGTCCTGGAGCTTAGTGGGCCCCGGAAACGGCAGGGCCGTTTTTTTTCACCGTTTTCCCCCTAAAAATATCCCTTGAAAATGGAAACGGCAAAAAAGGCGACCGGAAACGGCAACAAAAACGGCTCCAGGATTGGAACCGGAGCGGGAACCCATACACGAACGGCGACGGAACCGGTAAAATAACGGCGTCGGAACCGGCAACAATTAGCCTGGCGAAAGACCCAACCATATGCAGTTGTGGGTATCGCATTCGGGGAAGCCCCCTATGGGGCCACGAAACGCTGTACTGGGTGGGGGGGGGACGCATGCGAGCTGCGCCACTGGGACCTTCGGTGGAGCTCTCTATGGGGCCACGAAGCGCTGTACTGGGTGTGGGGAGGACGCATGCGAACTGCGCCACTGGGACCTTCGGTGGAGCTCCCTATGGGGCCACGAAACGCAGTACTGGACGCATGCGAACTGCGCCACTGGGACCTTCGGGGGAGCTACCTCTGGGGCCACGAAGCGCTGCCCTGGGTGCCACGAAACGCTGCCCTGGGTGGGGGAACCGCATGCGGGCTGTGCCACTGGGACCTTCGGTGGAGCTCCCTATGGGGCCACGAAACGCTGTCCTGGG